TTATTTGACTGAGATATTGGTAGGCAATATTGGCACTCGGAGCTCAAATACTGACTATCAACTATCAAGTGTCGGGACTTGGTAATCAGTAGTTGAGACTTGGTGCTTAAATGGATATTGCATATATACATAAAAATACAAAATATGTTCCTATGTGTTCATTTCTAGGTGAACAGACTTTGGAATTATATCTCAATCATCTATTCAACAATAGAAACAATGTATCAGGAGCTCAGGACCATAGGGTAATCCTTTATTGTATAGTGTACCTCCCCCTCTTCTGGTGGTTCACCCGCTGGGGGTTTTTCCCTGTAAAGCTGGACCTCAAGGACTGTAGGGAGTCTATTCCTGAGCATATTCGGAGTAGATATATCATATAACCAGCCCAGGACACACAGGATCCTTCTCCAGGAACAAAGCATAGACAATTGCACTTGTGACATTTTTTCACAATTTTCAGTATCTTGCCCTTGCATCCATGATCCAACCTTTTAATATATAATGAGCATAGCTTATATTCTTGCTTCTTATGACCAAGATCAGCTCACAATAGGCTGGAGTTTGTGAGCTAGTGTGCATACTTGCCATTTTGCCTGATAAGGGGCCCATGCCTTCAAAACATTGAATCTTCATAATCAGAAACCTGGGGTACATTTCAAATATCTTAAGTATCATAGACATAAATTTACAGACAAATCAACCAAGAATTGAGTACTGAGGAAGTGAAATGGGTAAGAAATTGAGTGTGGGAAACTTCAAAGACCCAAAGCATCGAAAATGGTTAGTTGAGCAGTGGTAGGACGTTAATGCTGGGTCAACTCATATTTTCACTATATCCCTTCTACCCACCCCCTACCCTCAGGGCAGTAGGCAGTATGGGTTCCTTGGGTAGTTTACAATCTATCCTACATATTTGTAATGATATTTTTGGCCTGAATCATATATAAATGTGACTTTATATAAAAGATGTCTACTGTCACTCTCCACACATCATTTTGCCTATCATTACATCAATCCTTCATGAATATTTCTAAGCTTTTAAGCTATTATAATGGATGTATATGGGTGTTATTCCAGGTCTCTGATCACATCACAGGCTTGTCATGTTGGATATCTCGACATAATGTGCAAGTCTCGCTATTAATATTCATTCTTTATCTTTAGACTCACTTACTGCACACATGTATTTCATTTGTCATTATTGATGTTTTGGATTTCTTTAGCTTATATCTTGGTCACATGGTAACCAATGGACGAGAAAACACTACAAATAAACTCACCTAGACTCGGACTACAACCTTGATTAAGCTGACTACTGATTCCCAGATACCGAGTATCAAAACCAAATACTGAGTACCAATTACCATGTACCAAGTACTGCGTAATGAGTAACAAGATAACCAATTGACAAGAAAAGACTACCACTACACTCACCTGGACTTGGACTACAACCTTTGGTAAGGAGTTAAGCATAATAATAACTTTCATTTTTTCATTATTGCTGATGTTTTGCTGAATGACAAGGAAAGACTACCAAATCACTCACCTTGACATGGACTACAACTGTCATTTTTCATTATCATTTGCCTATATTGACTACCGAGTCTCGAGTACCAACCACTGACCACCGATCACCGAGTGCCGAGTACCGAGTACCGATAGGGAATAGTGTGGGTGAACCCCGGGGTATGAGTAGCACTACCCCCACCCATACCCCATGATATACCCACACCCACCTTGTGGGTGTGGGTTTTTTGGTGGGTATCAGGGAGAAACTACCGAGTCTTGAGTACCAACCACTGACCACCAATCACCGAGTACCAAGTACCGAGTCCCAAGTCCCGAGTCTTGAGTCCCAAGTCCCGAGTACCAAGTCCCGAGTCCCGAGTCCCGAGTCTCGAGTCCCGAGTCCTGAGTCCCGAGTCCCGAGTCCCGAGTCCCGAGTCCCGAGTCCCGAGTCTCGAGTCCCGAGTCCCGAGTCTCGAGTCTCGAGTCTCGAGTCCCGAATCCCGAGTCCCGAGTCCCGAGTCCCGAGTCCCGAGTCCCGAGTCCCGAGTCTCGAGTCCTGAATCCCGAGTCCCGAGTCCCGAATCCTGAGTCCCGAGTCCCAAGTCTCAAGTCTCAAGTCCTGAGTCTCGAGTCCCAAGTCCCGAGTACCGAGTCCCGAGAACCGAGTACCGAGTACCGAGTCCCAAGTACCAACCACTGACCACCGATCACTGAGTGCCAAGTACCAAGTACCAAGTACCAAGTCCCAAGTCCCAAGTCCCAAGTACCGAGTACTGACAAATACAATTCCCAGGTTATTTGAGCCCTACACCAATGGATAATACATACAAATACAATTTGTGTCCATTTGAAGTACCGGGTTTCAGGTTTTGACACTCGACACTTGGTGATTTGTGAAATGAGTGAAAAATGGACATGTTGTGTACATGATGTTGGGTTTCGGGCTTTGGGTCTCGGCCCTCAGCACTCGGAACTCGATGATTTGAGTAATGTAAATGAAAAATCAACATGTTGCATGCCGGGTTTTGAGTTTCGTGTTTCAGCACTCAAAACTCAGTGATTTGTACAGTGAGTGAAAAATGGACATGTTGTGCACATATTTTCGGGTCTCGGGGTTCGGGTTTCGGCCCTCGGAACTCGGAACTCAATGATTTGTGTGACGTAAATGAAAAATCAACATGTTGCATGCCGGGTTTTGAGTTTCGGGTTTCAGCACTTTAAAACTCAGTGATTTGTGCAATGAGTGAAAAATGGACATGTTGTGTACATATTTTCGGGTCTCGGGGTTCGGGTTTCGGCCCTCGGAGCTCGGAACTCAATGACTTGTGTAATATAATTGAACAATGGACATGTTGCACACCCGGTTTTGAGTTTCGGGTTTCCGCACTTGAAACTCAGTGATTTGTGCAACAAGTGAAAAATTGAAATGTTGCATACATATTTTCGGGTCTCGGGGTTCGGGTTTCGGCCCTCGGCACTCGGAACTTGATGATTTGTGTAATATAAATGAAAAATGGACATGTTGCATGCCGGGTTTCGAGTTTTGGGTTTCGGCACTTGAAACTCAGTGATTTGTGCAACAAGTAAAAAATGGACATGTTGTGCACATATTTTCGGGGTTCGGGGTTCGGGTCTCGGACCTCGGACCTCAGAACTCAATGATTTGTGTGATGTAAATGAAAAATCAACATGTTGCACGCCGGGTTTCAAGTTTTGGGTTTCAGCACTCAAAACTCGGTGATTTGTGCAATGAGTGAAAAATGGACATGTTGTGTACATATTTTCGGGTCTCGGGGTTCAGGTTTCGGCCCTCGGAGCTCGGAACTCGATGATCTGTGTAATATAAATGAAAAATCAACATGTTGCATGCCAGGTTTCGAGTTTTGGGTTTCGGCACTTGAAACTCGGTGATTTGTGCAACAAGTAAAAAATGGACATGTTGTGCACATATTTTCGGGGTTCGGGGTTCGGGTCTCGGACCTTGGACCTCGGAACTCAATGATTTGTGTGATGTAAATGAAAAATCAACATGTTGCATGCCGGGTTTCAAGTTTTGGGTTTCAGCACTCAAAACTCGGTGATTTGTGCAATGAGTGAAAAATGGACGTGTTGTGTACATATTTTCGGGTCTCGGGGTTCGGGTTTTGGCCCTCGGAGCTCGGAACTCAATGACTTGTGTAATATAATTGAACAATGGACATGTTGCATGCCGGGTTTCGAGTTTTGGGTTTCGGCACTTGAAACTCAGTGATTTGTGCAACAAGTGAAAAATGGAAATGTTGCATACATATTTTCGGGTCTCGGGGTTCGGGTTTCGGCACTTGGCACTCGGAACTCAATGAATTGTGTAATGTACATGAAAAATGGACATGTTGCACACTGGGTTTCAAGTTTCACGCTTTGGCACTCGAAACTTGGTGATTTGTGCAGTGAGTGAAAAATGGACATGTTGAACAATGGGTTTCAGGGTCTTGGGTTTGAAAAATAGCATAATAACAACTTTCATGTTTTCATTATCATTTGCCTATATTGACTACCGAGTCTGATAAGAGACCCCTTGGATGATTCATTGCTCAATGAAATACTACCTGATTGGAAGTGTGATGGTTATCAGATATTCATTTGTCGACTCCCGGGTCCCGGAACTTGGAAGTCGGTATGGTTGACCCAAATTTGGGTGGTCAGAACTTGGCATCTCATAGGGCAACACAAGCTTCACACCCTGGATTCCAAATTCTGCAAGACAACCTGTGCACCATCAAAGGCCATGTCAGGAGATCACCTGCTGCTCCGGGAACTCAGGAACTTTGATTTATTACCTCCTCTGAGTACGGTTGACCCAAAGGTTGGTAATCGGAACTTGGCTTCTCATAGGGTAACACAAGCTTCGCACCCCGGATTCCAAATTTTGCAAGACAACCTGTGCACCATCAAAGGCCATGTCAGGAGATCACCTGCTGCTCCAGGAACTTGGTAACTTTGATTTTATTACCTCCTCTGATTTGGTTGATGTACAACTACCTCAGCTCCATCGTGTTTACAATTATGATACACATGGGCCCACCCATCTATATTTTATACCACCCTCGGCCCACCCGTCTAATACAACATCCCATACAACACCCTCGGCCCACCGGTCTAATTAATATGCGTCTGGGCCCACCCATATAATACAATATTGTATAATACCCTTGGCCCACCCGTCTAATTTAATATGTGTCTGGGCCCACCCGTGAATGTGATAACAAGTACCTACCCATCTATCTCATACACATCTACCTTAATACACCCATCTGCATAATATCCAACTACCTCGGCCCACCCGTCTACCTAATATTCATGTACATCGGCCCACTCATCTACTCTATATATCCCCTGCATGGGCCCACCCGCCTCCATCGGGAATAATTTGCCTCCCGGCCCATCCGTCATAGTCGAGGATATTTTGATCATGGGCCCATGGTCCGCTGGCCCGTATCATACGGGATATTATGCACGTCCGTTCCCTCGTATTATACGGAAATAGGTCACTGTAATATGTGTTATTCTTTGGGCCTTTCAGCTCAGTCTGGATCCTACGAAGCCACAGGATGACATGGGGTTCACGAAAATGTTTATGCCAAATGTCCCATATGCTATTGAATTTCAGGCGAAGGTTCCAGAAGTGAAGCTTAGGCGTATGATGCAGAACTATCCTGGGGCTGGGTGAGAAGCCTTGACATCTGGGTTGGATTGCTACTATCGGGCCGGGGACAAACCATCATATCGTTATCACCATTTCAAATTGGCTCCAAGTTTGACTCGTGTATCATTTTCGCGAATTCATTTATTAACGTCCGGCTCGCTTTGAGTACCTGATAGTCCTTTAAGGTCCCGGCCCAGATATAGTTTCGCGGATCTATGACATAAAACACAGTGCAGCCAAGTTAAAGCTACGTACCTAGTCTCAGAATCACGAGGCTGAGCGACAGCAAAGAACAACAGGGCTAATTAGTCCTCATCGTGTGAGACGCGGGAAGCACCTGGAAAGAAGCTGAGCTACGCAATACTTTCAGTGCCGAGCGGAGTGGCGAGTCTGTGAGTTTCAGCCTGAGAATTTGTACTTGCGGTATGCAAGGTCACAGGTGCGGCTCCCCCCCACAATACCAGAATTCTTGTACCTTTCGGTGGCGCATTGATACCAGTGGTAGAAGTGTGAGCTTGTTTGCTGGATGGCTGCGCTAAATTCACTCTTCCCGCTGATAGTATTAGCGATGCGCTACAGAGCAGTGTTATCAAGATCCATGGAGAAGCTCAATGAAACTTACATATTTATCTCATGTTGCATCTCTGATGAGGACCTTGCGTGGGCTGGGAGTACGATCCGGAGGAGTCGACAGGAAATAAATCATGATGTTTTGATTAGGGAACCTTGGATATGGCACTGCATTGTTGTTGGAGCGGCCTGAGAGCAGTTATTGTGTTAATGCGAGGAATATACAAGCATTGCTGGATGACATCGGGCAATATCGAAAGACTTGCATGATCGAGAACTACGCAAGAGTCCAGCACGTTCTAACTTCTGATGGACGCTTTTATCCTGAGATGGTCTGCTACAGGAACCAAGTTAAAAGATGGTCATGAAGCACATTGGAGAATACGGATACCTTCAAGTTCAATCATTGTGCTTGATTGGGAACACGCGTCTATATTTGCAGTCGTCGCGGTCATCATTACGGCTAGTGAGATGCGCACGTGCACACTCGCGGACCGTAAGGATGAGTTTTGGCTGACATACAAAGTGTTAAGTAGTTAGATTTCAAGCATCAACGACACAATAACTAGAATGCATACCGAAGGATTGACCACCCTTATTATTTGGTAGCACTGTGGTCAGTGCAATCGAGAAGTACATGTCTGCATCCGGCCGCTGATAGACGGCTGTCGAAGGATCAGCCAATACGTGTGAATATGAACGTATTGCGTCTCACCTTTGTATTTCGCCCTGGCGTTCTCGTGCCTTGAGAGTTCATTGTGCAGCTCCTTTAGCAAGTCTATGTCCTTCACAGCGAATTCCACACAGCCAGAAATCATGTAGCTTGACTTACCAAAATGATTAGCTCCTGCTCTCAGAGGCACGTGTACAGTTCTGAGTTAGGGTTTTAGTGGGTAGCAATCTAGGATAGACAGCAAAAACGTACCATTCAACGATAATATCGTTAAAGTGTTTCATATAATGGTATTGAAGCTTTTCGCTCCCTTGTCGCATGAGCTTCTGGTAACGGGATAGTGGCCCACTAGGATATTGACATGGTTTCGAATAACCAGCGTATGGGTCCTCTGAAGTTCTTACAGAATGCAGCAATGAAAAAGATGGGATCCCAAGCTCGTCTTTACGCTTGCACTCCACCGCTCTGTCAGCAGCAGTTTTCGAGATTTTAGTTAACTCTGGATGCAAGTTCGAATAAGCCAGGTTCCCAGATTTTGAAAAAAAGTGCATACCAGTCGAACGGAGGCACAAAATAGGCTGAAGTGAATATGTTATCAAAAGGGAGATTTACGAACCAAATCATCAATAGCTTCATGAATCGTGACGAAATGTAGCGAGGCAGAGAGGTCAGTGTTTCACTTTGCCTTCAAGCAGTTAGCGCTTGACTTCCGACCCTGCCGCAGCAGTCAAGCTCGCGTAGCGTGAGATGGGTCACGTGGCGTTTATTTTCAAATTCCAATCTGACTATTCCGAGTATAGTTGAAGGCTCAGAGGATGCCTCGTCCGAAGGTGAGGATGCCTCATCTGATCATTCCGAACCAATCAAAGACCGGGGCATGATTCGGCTTGTCATCTTCGTCTTACTTCAGATCTTCAGAAAACACATTCCTCTGGGCAATGTAGTTGGTGGGCTTACTAGTCTGGATTTAGTAAGTCAACAGGAGACGTATTACCTCCTGCCAGTACTAGTAGTACATTTGGCTGACAGAATATGGGAATATCGGTGACTGATCTCGGAGTCCTTAACGAGGTAGTACTATCTTCCTTCCTTGTATGTGATTTTTCAGAGTCCGAAATCCAATAGCAGTAATAGCCTGGGCATATATGGAGTTTTTTTTTGTTGACTGAGGTGCCAGGTTCGATCAAAATACATGTGTCAAACTGTTGCCTAAAGAAGTTTCAGCGGACGACCATATAGTGCCATATGATATACCATAGTAGGGACTTGGACTGAGGAGCAAATCTTCATAAGCCTGGTATCTCGGCATTCAACCGTCTCAACTCTTGTCGTGATTCTGTCACTACGCTAAGGTTGAGTGAACAACCCTCGCCCGCCCCGCAGAAATGCACGCTTGTATTATCCCTCCCTCACGTTTCGCCGATTCTACCAGAAGATTGAGTTTCGACCATGAAACTGGGAATGCCACTCCTGGTTTTTATTCCGACACCTGTCTTCAAAAGACATTTGAGCAGGCCGGCGCTGTCAATTTGCCCAGGACTTACGATGCTTCGCCAACCGCACACATAGGACCCAGTCCACCATCATCATCCCCTACCATCACCAATGATTTTTTGGATGATGATACAAACGCACCCACATCTCTCCCTCCTGTAATCAGGCACTTGAATCATGTTGTAAAGCGCGCAAAAGAGAAGTATAAGCCTTACAACCGGAACCGTCCCAGGACCATGGAGCTCCGCTTTGCTGAAAAGTACATTGGGCCCAGTGATATGGGCCCAGTAGATGTTCAAAGAGTAAGTGAATATACGTTTATGCACACATTATTTCTGATAGACGTCATGTCAGGGCAAAGTTTTAGCTGAGCATGGCTTGAAACACATGTCCTGCGAGGCCATTGCTCAAGCTGTCCTTACGAAGGAAGCTGACCTTGAGTGGAAGCGCATGTGTGCTCTGGCATCCGCATGGGAAATTGAGGTTCTCAGACGACACGAGAGGCTTGCCCACATAATTCACAACGACAAGGCTAGAATATATGCCAGTGCCACTTCTGAACCTCTCCTTGCTTCGCTTGAAACGCTTGCCAATTCTGACCTGGACTCGGGGGAGCTCCAAAGTCGCTTGGCCTTCGCCATTGCCGCATATAGTCAGGATAAATCATTGTACAGCGCTACAGATGAACAGTTTGATCACCTCGAGCATCTTGCTCGCGAGCACTATGTTGGAGCTATTGAAGACAACTCCCCTGCATCTCCCATAGACTCGGACGCAAGTGCCTCGAGTTCGGGTGTCCACGATTCCGGCATTGTTCGTGGAATTTCGGAGATATCCACGAAGTCCGATGACTGAGGTGATTCTCATTGATTTTCTATCATAAAGCTCGCATTGACCCTGCACAACAGATTATATTCGGCCAATCATCCTACGATAAAGTTCATCGGCTTTTATACGATACAGTTATTTATCCGTTTTCTTCAATGTAGAATCACTCTTGTCGAATATCATATATTCGACGCTCATCCTTCATTCTCTGTTTGCTCAAACTTTGAAGCTCCCGCTGTAGTAGTTCTCGATCGCCCATTGAATTTCAGACATCATTATGCACTGTACGGAACAGCCCTTCTTTGTTAAACCCAATCATGTGGCTCGCATTTCTCGGAATGTAATACTTGTCTTTGTTTGATGAAGTGAGCTTGATCAGAGTGCACAGAAATCACATTAGAACTTATGATGATCCATCCCGTTCAGGTGCGATCGAACGTGAAGTTGGCAGTTGGGGAAAATGTCACGGTGACTCGGATGGCAACAGATGCATGGCTCTGTTGTGTCAAAACAAAGTAGGTACTACCGTGACATCCCCGGGCTACTAGCTATCGCTTGGACCAGCCCAACACCTTATAGTATATTCTTGCTTATGCCAGATCTGACCGAGAACTGGATTAGCCAGCAACTTTCAATCGTGACGGGGACGGTGCAAAGAACTGGAATGAGAATCGAAGCTTTAGCTCGTTTCTTTCTTTTTTTCAATTACTACAAAAAAACAAAAAATTCATTCGCTGAATTATGTAGTCTGAAATTACTATAGTGCGTACTAGTAATGAAAAGGAGTGGTAAGTAAGAGCAAAAAACGACAGCGGCTTGACAGGTGGTGGGTGGGAGTAAAGACCAATGGTAGTAAAGACCAATGGTAGTAAGTACAAGTGAGGATGTGCGAGCTCGATGCAACTTGTTGGATGAGAATGAATCGACATGTGGAGATACGGTACTCGTGGAGTTCCTCTTCCCCTTTGAGATTTGTATCGGAATTCCAGATCAGGCGAGATGACTACGGTAAACAGTTTTCCCTCTATAGCTAGGTGCTTGCCACTTTTGTTTGCCCCTTTAGGCCTTGAGAACTTACCGAATTTGCGAATGACGATTGTGAACACACTGAATTGTAAATTGCTTTTCTTAATATGGTAACAAGTCTACCGTACTACATTTGGCTTACAAAATATGGGAATAGATCTCGGAGTCCTTAAGGTAGTACCACTCATCCAGGTTATAAGAGACAATTGAGTGAAAGATTGAATTGGCAGATCGACGCAAGCTTCTTAATATGTCTTCCTACACAAATTATCCTCATGCAATTACTAATCAGCCCCCTCAGATCGAAGATACGAAGGCCCAACTCCATCGTGTACCTGAATTCTCCGTGTCCGAGGACGTGTCAGTGGTCTGGGAACTGAATCCAACTGCGACAGACCCTCTCGTAGCCCACTCATTGTCAGATGTGCTCCCTGAGGGCCTGCCTTTGGGGATGATTGGTCGGAAGAAATCTGAAGAGATGGCGAGTTTCTTCACTCGCGTGTTATTTAAGGGTACTGATGACGAGCAATCAGAAAGCCGAAGGCAATCGTGTAGGTGGTGAAGTAGTTACACGAGCTCAGGCTTCTCCGAGTCGTACCGCCACTTGTTAGAGTCGGAAGAGGAAGATGGACCAAGCTAACTCCGATGGCGATAACTCTGACAAAGAGAATATATTGCTCACTTGTCCTGCTCCAGCAGCGAAGCACATCTGCAGGGAGAAAACTGGTACTGAGTGGGAGACGGTCCTTGATATAGTCAAGTTTGGTGAGGGGCAGTGAAGTGGCAACCGGAACGAAGTAGTTATTGAAGAACACTAGAATTCAAAATATCAGTACATCAACTCGGAAGATGAAGACTTCAAAGACCTCTGACTCAGACTTACCCGATAGCTTGAGGAACAACGCAGAATATTTCAACGCGTCAAGGTGGACATGCTTATCATTGCAAAACTTGCGATTGCTCATAACACCATAGTCCTTGAGAATTTTACAGACGTGTTCCGGAGGCAAATCCTGCACGATCATCATTCAAGACACGTAGAATTACACACCAACTGAATGAACCTGTGTTCCAATATCAACGTGTTAGAGGTCAGGTGGGTCGGTCTGCGACAATGTCTGGGCCACAGTCACTACAGGCGAAAGTCTGGGACACGATGGCAGTTAACAACGATCCCAGCAGAGTTTAAACCCCGCTCGATGTTTCGAACGGCCATGCTAATCAACCATCCTGCCGGCGTGCCCGCCCCGCCTAAGATCTCGCTGGAACGTTGCATGTTCGTGACCCACCTCAAGTCTGCCCACCCATCTCCTAGAGAAAGTCGGTTGTTGAGGGGGGCAGTATATCCGAGTCGGGGCAGCTACCAGAGAGGCCGGATGATGTCATCGTTGAACAACATAAGAACAGACAAAGATCAATATATGACATAGCGGCGAGCTCACCGTGTTGTTGTATGACAGCAAAAAGGCTCCCAACACACGGGGGGCACTTGTTACGGACAATGAGCAAGCATGAGAAACAGTGACAGCAACTTTCCTACTCCGCTTGGGTGTGCTGCTTCCTAGGTCCGTGCTTCCCAGACTTCATCCCAAACCGGCAGAGATGTTCTCGAACTTGAACGGTGTCAAAAAGTTGATTCGTCTTCATGAATGGCGCTACCTGAACCTCAAGCAACTTAGTTTACTACCCGACTCGGAGTTGAACGTTGAGTTATCACCTATCGCTCTACTAGTTGTCCAGAGTACCCACCATGCGTGCTCATCTAGCTCCCAAGTGAAGTTTCATCAGTGCATGTGGCGGCGTGCGCCCTCCACCGCACCAAACTTCACTCATCCGTCACTTTCACTGCCCTCGTCCTTCTCCGTGATTGAGGGTGTGCTTTTGGCGCCCACACTCTCGTATGGCCACCATCGTCGTTCTCCGTCAAAGCCCGCCTTCCCTCCACCACACTTATTAATATTTTCCTGCCAGCAATATCCGTTGTCACCGAGTCATCCGGCGTCAATGTCTTAAGCCTTAACCTCATCTCCCCCAGGTATGGACGATTGATTGTACTGCTAGTCTGTGCTGCTATTTACTAAGCCGAATAACCTCCAGCCTGCATCCTCCTGTGTCACCCATGAGACCAACTACAACCTCGTGGGGCCTGGCGCTACCTCCGAGCCTCGAAACCCTCGAAACCTTGCGCTGACTCCGACCCCCACGCCAGAGTGTGGCCTCCGAGTTCCAAAGGCCTCCCGCTACTTCCTGCTTTCGCTCAGTCACACCAGGTGTGGTATTGATAGGCGGCGGGAGACAGCAAGTCGGGCATAGTGGGCAGTCAGTAGTAACACACGACGGCGAGGTGCTTAACCTTATACACTGAATGTCTTAACTGCTGCTGGAAGCGACGTGACGCACGTACCCTGTTTTTCGGAGCTTGTGGGGCCAAGATTATTCTTCGGAAAAGTAGCAGGGCACATCTGACTCGTGTTTGATTTCTGACGCATTGGGCTACGCTTGGATAACATTGTTTTGGGCGAACGGCTGTAAAAGGAATTCGATTACTCGTTACTCCAATAGTCTTAGTTAGACTGCCTATTCTGATACGAGACCAATTGAAAGGAATAGAAGTTGCTTTATTTGCCCAATGCCTAGTTCGTAAATCCTGATTTGTCCTCTGGCCGAGACCGCTTGGCCAAATTGGTAAGGTGATGTCCTGTGATGTCCCCTTCGGAGTCAGCGAATGAACACCACAATGCCGCGATAATCAGTATTCATTCAGGAGAGACGACGACGTAAGAGTAAGTAAAAGTCGGTTTACACTCGTTTTTTTGACTAATAATCAAACCATGATAAGCTGACTTGCGAATGTAGTTCATTCAAATGGTGTTGGCCTTAGCACCTCAAGTTGCGGTACTAATAACCCTCAACTCAACTTATTACTACCACCATCGCTGTTGCACTTCAAGCTTCGAACGTGACTCAGACTCAGACTCTAACAGTACCAGGTACGCATGATCTCATAATACTGCGTTCTTGACAGTGTTTCTGACTAGTACTAGTAGCAGTCGCTGGACTTTACTAGTTCTATGGCTGATTGGCCCAACGAAGGCTCGGATGATGACCTGCTAACCTGGTCACCATTGCACAATGATTGGCTACCGGCGAGCGGCAGTAATGAGTCTTTTCCAAACGAGCCTGATGATGATGGCAGCATCCAGCCTGATCACAACATCACGATGCTTCCAGAGCATCACAGCAACTTGGACAGCTTGAACTACGACAATGGTAGCCACTTAGTATGGCCAATACAAAATCTACCTCAGGCTGACACGCCCAATCATTATCTGCCCCCGTGTCACGAGGCTCCCATTCATTTGTTCGAGCAGGGCGTCAGTCAGTCTGATGACCAGTTCCAAATGCTTCCTGACCCTGACCCTGACCTCGACGCCACTGACGCCAAGATCCACCGCGGGGCTAGACATGCGGGGCGCGATCATTCGGAGTATGTCCGAAATGCCACAGTTCATCCTTCCGTACCCATGACACCCCATTCACCATCGCCGTCCATGCCAGCGGGCACACAATTACAACCGCAGTTGATCCAAGAAGTGAAGGCGGATGCTGAGGTACACATGGTGAGGCTCATCTTTGAAACTACGTTTTTCCCTGTCGACGCCGTTTTGACTCGGATGGCGAACGATGCGCTTTCCGCTGCGGTCGCTAGGCACAACAATGGTATTTTTCTCTTTCTATTTTCTGTTTAGTAACTTATCGACGAAAACCAGCGGAGCTTAACCTGTGGAAAGAACGTATAGAAGGTTTTGAAGAGATTCAGAGACTGAAGGGCACTGTGACCACCATCCTAAAAGATTTCGAGACGGTGGCGCGATTCTCAGTCCTATTGGCGTATGATCTCTCTCTCGTGATTTCCGAGCGCGGGGACGCGCTGATAGCACACCGCATCAATACTATATGATCGCTGTTATTCAATGACTCGTTCCTCGACGGTATAATGGATGTGAGTGAAAATTCACTCAGCTTTTCTCCGTTTAACATGCCATGTCAGCTGTGCGGGAGCGATGGGCGCATCCAGCCCTTCCACGTACCCTTCGCACATTCCACCATCATCAGACTGGTTGAAATTCTTCTGTTTGAGCTGCAATACCACAGATTCATATTATTTGATGATTCAGACAAGTGGAAAACGTGCATTACGAACGTTTTAGCTGCTGGAGGAATGTTATGCAGGTGGCTATTGAGGCAGTATTCAACAGGTTTGTTTATAGCCGCTGAGTTTGTGGCTGAGGAAAACGCATCTTACTACGACAGCCTCATATACATAATTGGTCGGTTCGATCCTGATAAACGGCTCTTTTTTGAAGGATTATTGATGGATATCCGCAATCTTCTAAAACCTCCGGTTGTACCTGCCCCATAGTCACTTCAATGTTTTCGTGCTAGCTAGTTGTTTTTTTTCTTCGAGATTCGCTACCTGGTCATTTACATTCTGTACGTGATATACATGCTCTACTTGCGATGTGTTGCCTGTTCCAACTCGGCTTTTTCGCTCAGTTACCAGCAGAAGCAACGTTCGGAACCAGTCCGTCTATGCCAGAATTCCCTTTGTAACTGCTTAAGTTTATGAAATACCTTGCCTTTGAGCCCCCGCGCGCGTCGTCCCTCCCATTTGCGTCATCGTCTCTTCTCCACTGAACACTGGGACCGAGGAGATCCCTATGACATTTCCTCGTCCCAGACCTGGTCTGCGATATAGGCGGGAGCAACCAAGCTGGGCAGGCAAACGGTGCACGAGAGGACATGCAGGTGGGCTTGTCCTGGTTGAAAGACAATGTGCTACTAACAGTGTTCTACTATCGCTCGTGCATCTATAGGCTAGCATCAAGTTTTCCAGACGCAAACTACACGAATCATTCACTGCTGATCTTTCCACGCCTTCTACCACGTTCTACCTCGCTCATCTCGAATTGTTTATGTGAGCACTGCGCACTGCTGTCATAATTTAAGTGACAATACGCTCATCAGGTACGGTCTCGACGCAAAAGGACTCTCAGAACTTGATAGGCGGTACACCCTACCAATCAGGTGCACTCTTCTCATATGAGGGTAACCCAGAGGAAGTGATCCTTCGTGTGGGTATTTCATTCGTATCGACGGACCAGGCCTGTGTGAATGCCGAGGAGGAAATTGGCACAAGTTCCTTTGAGGAAATCCAGAAGGCGTCCAAGGCTCTTTGGCAAGAGAAGCTCAGCAAGATCAAGATCGATGTTGTAAACACGCTCCCTAATGTGACGGAGATGCTTTATTCTTCGCTGTACCGAGCGTCATTGACTCCTGTAGGTGTAAACCATCGTAACGAAGTTGAACTAACCATGTTTTTGCAGAAACTTAAGGCGCATTTGCGAACACGACATCATTCTACTTTGACTCTCTTTACTGTAGCTGGGATACGGTGAGCAACAATGATGTGATGTCAGAATTTAACTCACCCACATATGCAGTTCCGGACATTTTACCCCCTCATGGCTCTTCACTAGCACTCCCCAGTCGAATTCGCACAAATCGTGGACAACTACATCGATGGCTGGCGTAAACTCGGCTGGATGCCGGAATGCCACGCGAACAATCTTCCTGGGTGGACACAGGGCAGGTCAAGCGGTGACAGCATCGTCGCACAGTTTGCGGTGAACTATCACAGTGAGGCGCAAGCGCTGGGAATCAATCTCGACGACTTGTATGCCGCGCTTGTCGCGGACGGGCAGGTGAATCCGCCCGAATGGAATATAATGGGCAGGCAGGTGAATGTGTACAAGTGCGTGACTTCGTTGATAGCATATTAAATATGAGCGCTGAATTAGACTTGCAGGCGATTTTCTTGTGTACCTTTTGCTGTTCTAGACACTGGGAGTACCGGTAGACAGACCAGGGAGGGAAGTAGAACTCTTGAGGTGAATACTCTATTATCAATGCTGGCGTTACGATCTCATGACCCGGCTGTATGCATTCCAGTATGCATTCCAGGACTTCGGTATTCGTCAGGTGGCTCAAGTGCTTGGCGAAACAGACAATGTTGAATATTACACCAACCGATCATATGTGAGCAAATATCGGCTTCAAAAATCACTGATCGCAAACTTTACAGTGGTACCGCAATGTCTGGGATGCAACTGTGTACAGTGATGGATACCAAGGTTTGTTGGGTCGATGTAGTAATAGGGACGTCGATCCTGACGCTGTTATCGCAGGGTTCATGCAGAAGAGATTCCCCAATGGAACCTTCTATAACACCGACCCTGTCGACTGCTCGCCAAAGGACACCTTGAACGTCAGCATTCAAAATCGCGGATGGTGTCTCGACAGACAGCGGATCGGGCGTATCTCTGGTAGCAGAACAGAACATCGTAGCACCACCATTCACATCGAAGATCACGAAGGCATTTTTGGATGCAATACTAGCCAACGATGCTGTTCCCGAGCTAGTCAACTTTGGTATCTGTGTCAGTGTTTTCGAGGACTATTGCTGATTTGCCCGCTTATAGCTCGCCCAACAAGTCATCCCGCACCCTAGTGATGCTCGTAGCACCAATGCTTAACTTTCGCTTGAAGTGTCAGCCTCAACCAGACTCGGAAGCGAAAAAACCACTATGTTCCTTGCACTAACTCAAATTTTGCCAATGTCACTCAAAAGGAACTTGATTTTCCGCTACATCGAGATTTCCCCAAATGGCACTATATGCATTTGGGCAATCGCCGTTTCTTGTGGTGACATTACAATGTTTCCTTATAGGTATTTGTCCATCAGGACAGTTACCTTTACCGACTAGGCTGGATGGCCGCATCATATAAAGCGGGCGCTGTATCCGGTCAGTTTCATCCTCCTACCCTCACACTCCTTCTCCTGCTTATCCTGAACATTCATGTCTCAGACGATGGACGGCTCCCAACCTCCATCGCCGTCCCAACGGTCTTTGGCACAGTCCACGGCGGTGACGACATCTGAGAGTGCTCGACAGAGGCGCAAAATCGCTACCTTGGAAGAGAAGCTACAAGTCCTTGAGGCGGGGCATGCGATGAAAAAAAGGTAGAGGTTCCATTGAAATCTATCTAGTCCGGCTCGCTAACTATTGTCAGGGTCACAAGCTACTACATGTCCCAGGGAAGAGCTATCAGGCGCATGGTCACCTTATATGATTCCATTGAAGACTTGATCGGCGAGAACGACAGGAGGTGCGAAACCGAAAACGACGATGTCACCATTGAGTAAGTCATCTACTCCTGCGTCTTCAAGGTCGCAACAATAATAGTAGTACTCAAGGGTTTGTTAATACAGCCAGGATCGATTGCAAACAGGATATGTTACCCTTGGCAATGTCGTCCCGTGGCTTCAAGAAAGAACTTCAGAGTTGGAATACGAGGAGTACGTGCAAATGCTAAAAAAGGTGTGCTTCAGCAGTCTGAATAATTGACCTCGTGTTAAGTCGTCGTCCAGCTCAGGCAGGGGGCCGACAGTGCTCGAGGGGACGACACTTCGAAACTCAAGAGCCTCGTCCCCGATTGGGTGAATCGCGAATTCAAGCCTAATCCCCCAGTCGATCGCGAGGATAAACACTGCCGTGGATTTGTCCACGATGTTTGTGGCAGACTTCTCTGTCCAACAGAGCTGGACTGGCAAAACCCAATGTAAGTTGTATTGTACTCAAGATTCAGCGATCCTAACTTGTTCATCAGCATCAAAGCAGGGATTAGGGATCGTGTAGATGGCTATATCGTAACAGAAATGTCCTGGCCAATATTCCTGTATGAAAAATATACCGCCGATCAGAACAATTTAGAACAAGGTCTATTCAAAAGCACTCTTTTGGTTCAGGTATATCTTTCCTACTGAGTAGCTTGACGACATCTCACTTTCGGCAGGCCTTCAAAGCTATTTTTACCTCTCCTTCCTCTGCAAAAGACGTTGATGGTGATGGCGATGGAGCCAATGTCATTGAAAACAACAGACGTGCCCAAAAGGATTCTTCCGGCAAGAAAGTGAAGACGCATGTAGCGCAGATCATTAAGATGCATAAAGTCTCACCCCGTTCAATCGCGTATGTAGCATGTCAAGTAAGTTGTTTTTTCTTCATTCCCTTCCCAAGTACTAACAATATGTGATCTTACAGTTACGATTTGCACTCTCTTCTGTGACTTCATGGCGCTCAGTTGATGGGGAGTTCGACTACATCCAATTCTGGCGCAATATTGTAGACTTCTTTGAACGAGCCCCCGGTCGAGTAGCGCAGTGCAATGTCAGTCGACTACTGACATGGTGGACGAGGTGCGTTTTTGTAAAACAGAATGAACAATCCCTAAGTTATCTCAGGAAAGTCTTCGGCACAAGTCGCCGTGCAGAAATTAGCGACACGGCAATGTCCAACATGTCCGTGAACGCTCTTGCGAGGCAGCGGGCACAACTGGATGATGCCCTCTTTGACTCCGATTAGTTCATTTATCATCCCGGTACGACTTCTACAATGATGGTCTTGCCAGCCCACCTCGACAGCTGCTCTCCGAGGGTTGTATATTCAGTGTCGCCGTTGGTCATTAATTACCAAATTACAATAGTAGCTTGCCATTTTAATACCATGATGATTGAAACATACTTCTCCTGGTGTGAAACTTGAGTAGATGATTCAAATGTCAATTGAATTGCTGGTTCGCCATACAAACAGTGTGAACCTCAGACCGAAGTGAGAAAATGCAGCACAATTCGTATTTCCTGTCATGTTCCCATCGCAGGCTAGAAAGCATGGATTTGCGGAGCGACTAATATTCTAGTTCTCATGTTTGTCTCAGAAACAGAGCATGGACGTACGAGGTGACGCAGCACGGCTCGAGAGTGGTGATATCTGTATCATTCGGTTCTCATATCCGTCTCATACACAAGGCATAGACATACGGGGTGACGGAACATAGCGCAATAAGGGCGATACCTCTACCTTCTAGTTCTCATGTTCAACTTAGGCGGAAAACATAGATGTGCAAGGTGATGGAATACAACTCGAAAGCCTTGATATATGTATCGTTTAGTTCTCATGTTCATCTCAGAAACAAAGGATGGACGTACGAGGTGACGCAGCATGGCTCGAGAATGGTGACATCTGTATCATTCGGTTCTCATATCCGTCTCATACACAAGGCATAGATGTACGGGGTGACGGAACATAGCGCGATAAGGGCGATACCTCTACCTTCTAGTTCTCATGTTCAACTTAGGCGGAAAACATAGATGTGCGAGGTGACGGAATACAACTTGAAAGCCTTGATATATGTATTGTTTAGTTCTCATGGTCATCTCAGAAACAAAGGATGGACGTATGAGGTGACGCAGCACGGCTCGAGAATGGTGACATCTGTATCATTCGGTTCTCATATCCGTCTCATACACAAGGCATAGACGTACGGGGTGACGGAACATAGCGCAATAAGGGCGATACCTCTACCTTCTAGTTCTCATGTTCAACTTAGGCGGAAAACATAGATGTGCGAGGTGACGGAATACAACTCGAAAGCCTTGATATATGTATCGTTTAGTTCTCATGTTCATCTCAGAAACAAAGGATGGACGTACGAGGTGACGCAGCACGGCTCGAGAGTGGTGATATCTGTAACGTCGAATTCTCATATCCGTCTCAGACACGAACCATAGACATGCGCGGCGACAAAATACAGCTCGATAGTGGTGATGTCTGTATGTTCATGCCTTTCAGAACAAAAAGCACAGACGTATGAGGTGAGAACCATAATATTGACAGCGGCAATATCTGGATCTTCTGGCGTTCATGTCTATCCTAAACAGAAAGCATCAACGTGCGAGGTGGACACAATTGTAAAAACATTCCGAAATTACAGTACCGCACGTAGTAGTGCTGCCGAAGTCCAGTTCAGTCCGGTTCTTGGGCCAAATTTTCCGAACGCCAAACCGAACCATAGGTTCGGTTTAGCTGTTTGGTCGAACCCTGGACCGAACGTCACTGAACGCGTTCGGGAGGTCCGGTTCGCGTTCGAACCGGGTTCAACCAAGCTTGCAGATGATGGGCTGGAGCTCCACCACGAACGCCATGCGCAAACGCCCAGTGCATGTCAGCAACTGCTGACATGGCTCAGAGGAGTGCGGACGACAGACGAGAGTAGGAGGAGGGAAGAAGACGAGGAGATCTCGCGAAGGGTAAGTGGGCATTGGGAACACGGCAGCGTTGGGATGGTGCTCTAGGGGACTTGTGCAAGGTGCTGGGTCGTGAGGAGTCAGCATATCCCAGTAGACAAGGAAAGTTCAAGGAAGCTGCCTACCTTGTGTTGATGGTCTAGATACAGTCTCGAGGCATGTGTGAATGATTCGATGAAATCAAAGCCTCTACGGGTATATTGTCAACACGTCAACGTTCCAATGTTCACATCCAGAACATTCCCTATAGAACTAGTGCTTACTACCCAAATATCAAGATCATAATACCACTCATCAGAATTGACAATCCTCTCTTTGTATCAACACAACCTGCATCAGATAGTGTACGTTCCATTAGCTGTCATATAGCTATCCCAAAATCCGACCTCACCTTCGGGACCCGATTGAGAGCCTTTTAGCTTTTTGCAACGTCGACAGCAGTTAATGTTGCCCGCGTTCTCACAAGGACCCCAGGGGCAGTTGTTCCGATGTCAAGTTCCACCTTTTCAAAGTTGTGCGAGTCCTGAGAGTCGTCTGACACATTTGCAGTATCTGTTGAGGGCGAATCAGAGCGTGAGGGATCCATACTTGACTTGTACAACTGGCTGCTTTTGTGCATATGTACGAACTTGTTTTGGCAGAGACAGCACATGTTAGTACAGTGGCTCAAAAAAGTGTCCCAATGTTTGTAGGTTTTCATGTAATTGTGTTATTGCGAGCCAGGGTGTGAGGATCTGACTAAGTCAAAGGGAGGTCCCAAAAAGCTCCGCTTCTCGGCTACAATTATGTCCCCTATAGCGTGAGAATCCATTGACGCCGTGCGAAGATATGGCTATTTTAATTAGGTGACTCATTGGCACACTTTTTTGAGTTTGAATCAATTATACATAATCTCTATAATTCTAGTACTTAGTGTTTCCTCCCTTAGCTTTAATGACTGCTGCTACCCTCCTAGGCATACTTTCTATCAATTTCTGACACTCCTCCTTAGCAATCTTTCCCCACTCTACTACAACTCTCTCCCATAACTGAAATAGTCCATTAGGTGGGTCTTGATAGGCAGCAAGCATTCTCTTGAGTAATTCCCAAAGATGTTCAATGGGATTGAGGTCTGGAGACTGTGCTGGCCATGATAGGACAGTAATATCATGGTCCTCAAACCATTTGGTGGCCAACTTTGAGGTATGCTTGGGGTCATTATCTTGTTGGAAGATAATGTCTTCTTCATCAATACCTGATTCTTGCATGCTTTTGAGCAGACACTCCTCCAGAATGGAGACATACTGCTCTGCATTCATCCTCCCCTCCACCTCACATAGAATTCCCACCCCATGCCACCCCATGCAGCCCCACACCATCATATTTCCTCCTCCAAACTTAAGAGTACCTTTCACTTCTTTTTCTCCAAGTGGATCTCCTGCCTTTTTCCAAACATACTCTTGACCATCTGACCCCATCCTATTGATTTTAGTTTCATCTGACCAAATAACTCTCTTCCAGTCCTCTATAGTCCAGTGCTGGTGCTTTAAAGCAAATGCTAGTCTCCTTTTCCTATGGGCTGGTGACAGTAGGGGTTTCTTCTTCTTGACTACAGCTTTAAGATTGGCTTCCTTGAGGGTGTTTCTGACTGTTTGAGTGGAGACAGTGGTAGTGATGATGGAATTGATGTATTTTGTGGCTTGAACAGCAGTAGAGGCCTTTCCAGATATAATATGATGAACAAGAGCTCTTTTGTCATGCAGAGTAAGTTTAGAAGGACGACCCATTTTGACATTTTCTTTGTTGGGAATATTCTGGTTGATAACCCTGGCAATAGTTGACTTCCCCAGACCAGTTTTGGAGGCAATCTGCCTGATAGATAGACCAGAGGTGGAGAGAAAAAGGATATTATCTCTTTGAGAAGAGGAAATAGACTTCATGCTGATTATGAGGGACATGATGTTATTGGAAGGGTTTATATATGTACAGGATATTAAAATGAGACCATATTGTCAATATGGGACCATTTATATATATATTTGTAAATGGTGTCATGTCTAAATGATCTGATTTTCATATTTTAATAGAAACTCAAAAAAGTGTCCCAATGAGTCACCTAATTAAAATAGCCATATCTTCGCACGGCGTCAATGGATTCTCACGCTATAGGGGACATAATTGTAGCCGAGAAGCGGAGCTTTTTGGGACCTCCCTTTGACTTAGTCAGATTCTCACACCCTGGCTCGCAATAACACAATTACATGAAAACCTACAAACATTGGGACACTTTTTTGAGCCACTGTATATGTACATGAACGAGAAGCAAATCACTTACTTAATGGTTCACCTCCATGACCAAGCTCATAAGATACTGATGGCCGATTTCCAGTGTCTCCTCGAGTTAACATCATAATAGAATGAGGCAGCGTTGGGCAGTACCAGAAGGCTGAGAGGGTGCCCCCCCATCCAGAGTCGAGTCTACATGCGCATTGCACAACGTACCTAAAACATAGTGAGAAATCCAAGTTGTCAATGTAAATAGTAGCAGCGAAACTGAGGTAGTGTAGGGCGACGGTCGTGGTGGGGTTCGAACGCGTCCGAACCGGTTCTGGGTAGCTCCGAACCCCGAACCGGACTCAAGGTTCAGTCCAGGGGCCATGCCGGACCTGGGACCGGACCTTGAGTCCGGTTCGGAAAGGTTCGGGTTCGAACCGAGGTTCAGAACCGAACTGCGGCAGCACTAGCACGTAGCACATGGCGTATTCAGCACGTTATCTTTATCTGCAGGCTGTCGGCGGTCTTGTCTTCGGTTCCAGGAGGTTTATATAAATGCCTAGTATTACCAAGCAATAGCATAATTCTTGGGATCGATAATGCACACACAGACTTTCCAAATACACTAATAAACAATTACTAATGTAGAGAGCCAGAAACACGACAACGCGAGATGATGACAATTAAGTGTAGAATTGCGAGATGACAATCATAGTAAAATATATTGAAATAAGTGCCGAGGTCAACCACGAGCCACTGCCCTCAAACCTTCAACCGACTGTTTATGTTATGAAAATGTACTGCCCGTGCAAAGCTAAAACAAATAAAGTTTCCATATCCAAACATGAGACATTATCTAGGCAAGGCGCAATGACACACTATATTATGGGCAATGCGAAGTGAGAACAATTAGGTACAGGTCCGAGAGTTTAGAGCATGTGGAAGACATACTGGCATCGCACCCCCATCCATCACATATTGGATAGTTAGGATATTTACTTTGGTAATGGCCGCATCAAAAATTACTGAAGTGGGGGATAAAGACACTTATGTTTGCTCACGGTGGTACGACGGACAACATTGATACCAAGCGGAAAGTTGGATGTTACAGAGTGAACATATACATTTACAACAGACAGCCGAAAGACCCGAATAAATATATATAAAGGTTCCTGTGCGCTTAGCACACACATCATCGGTATCTGCAAGATACTGACTTCTGCACTTTCCTTCCAACTTGTGAACCTTGGTCCCGATGTTGCGAACATGAATCGTTGACACTAATCATTAGCTTTTGACCCACTTTACCCCTTGCATTCAATTTGAACGAATCGAATTAGTTCTTCTGCATCAGTGCACAAATTATCATGATTGCAAAACACTTGTTTTTAGACTTACCTTCCGAATTGAAGACATCATTCTCGATGTGGCGGCGAAGAATCGTTAAGACAGACACTTGACTTTTGCCGCGTCTACTACTTGATTTCGAGTTGCACAGCTTTATGAGTTTTTGGCGGTTTGCAAACCTGTGTACGTCAATTATGAACTCGTCTTTCCTCCATAAACTCATGCATGACCATGTAATGACCCATAGCAGGATTATACTGATGCTCGTGATTATTCTCTATATAAGGCAATATATGTCCTTCTCAAATTTCCCTAAGTTCACTGATGACTGCACCTGCCTATCATTTGCATATGCGGTGCTAGTATCCGAGAACCGTCTTGGGTGAATTTACATCCCAATGGTAATAGGTGAATGACGCCTCCGGTAGTCTAAACATGTCTTGACGGTATTCCCTGCAGATAGATTGTCTCGTTGTCTTGATGACTTACTTTTGAAATTTACGGGACACGTCCCTCCCTAGAGATTCTGCCTGCAATCCTCGATCGCAAGCATATCCTCATTTCTATCAAAGTCCTTGTGAAAATAAGGAGCACCTGATTGAACGACGTGTCAGCGTTCCTTAGTTCTTTTCTTGATGGCACGACCATCATCGTGAACACTGGGGTCCTCGGACCTCGTCATGACACGTAGCACAAGAACACGACATTTCGGTTCTATCTGAACATGGAAGAAATGCCTTCGAGTTCGATCTTGGTTACTCCATAAGTATTCGCAGCATGGAGTCGAACTATCCACGACACCGCAGTATCGGTTTCTGTAACCGGCAGGTGTAGATGGATCCTTGATCATCCGATCAAGCAATTCTCGATTGTAGCAGGCTGCACAATGATTTTTTCTACATCACAAGTGCAGTTGCTTCGAGTCGCTCAAAAAAGGTCACTAGTACTATAGGATGAAGAAGGGCATCACATAAAACATCTTTCACTGTGATCCCCTGTATTTTGGCATTCTGCCGGTCTATGCTTTCGTAGCGTGGTGGCTGGTGAGCGAGAATGAAATGATTTGGACAATGACTTAGATACAGCGATTTAACAGGGTCTAAATGATGAGGAAAAGGATGTTTGGGCGTGGGCTTCTCATTCAGGCGCATGTGCACCGCAGCAGAAGGAATTGAGTAGTCTAGCCGTACCCTGAGAGAGGAGGCAGCGGGTGAGCCAAGGAATAATAAAGTAAAATGGAGTAAATAGGCAAATCTCAGGCTATTGCTGAACTATTGAGACTAAACTATCTTGCCATCGTCGTGGGTCAGAGCAAGGTAGCACACGCCTAGGTGTGCCTCACTCATGCGTAGACTCGATTCTATGCTAACCCCTTCTCAACAATCTTGACTCACTTTGGCTTTTACGAAAATTGGTGACTATTTCATTAATCATCATTGGATGGACAGTCTTAAGGCCGTTACAACCAGCACTTCCATTACCGGCCTGACCAAACCTGAAGAATGTCCATCCAATGATGATCGACGAAATTTTCGTAACAGCC